TGAAACTAGCTTTATAGTAGTGATAAATGTGTTGTAGTACTGTAAAATTCAGTTAGGTAGAAACTGGGTAAGGGTTTATGAGAACTCTGTAATTTTTCTATAAACTGAAAACTGTTATAAAAAGTAAAACTCGACGGGCGGTCCCAGCACTTAGGAGGCAGAGGCAGAGGCAGAGGCAGGCAGATCTCTGTGAGTTCTAGAGCAGTCTGGTGTACAAGAGTTAGCTCCAGGACAGCCTCCAAAGCCACAGAGAAAGAAACCCTGTCTCGAAAAACCAAAAAAGAACCAAAATACTCACTAAAAACCTCGTAAAAAGGTAAAAAGTAATTGATGAGTAGTCACATGGGGATAGGGTGGGGATGACTTATTATTCAGGTAGAGAAAGACTATTGCGGTTAAATAAGGATCAGGATAAACAAATAGGCCAAGTAGATGTTTACTCAGGGAGAAATAACTTACAACCTAGACAGATGATCACCAGGGAATTCCACCCGATGCTCTCCTGTCCCAGTCCCGCAAGCAAGAGAGCTTTTCCTGGCTCTCCGACCTCCTTCCAAAGGTCACTTCCGCCCATGGCTCCACCCCCCAATGGGCGTGGTCAGTGCCACAGAAAGACTGTCTCACTACAAAAGACTTTTAAATTTTGGTTATTTTTCCTAACTTTGCTGAATTTGTAGTACAATTATTGTGAAACAGTATTTTGTTGTTCATTTGTTGTTTTGTTTTGTTTTTGCGCCTGAGGGAGGCCTAAGAGGAAACAGACATTCTAAATTCATGTCATACCATGACTTCTGTTCTCTCATTCAAAAGAAGTATTCACACTTTTTGTTTGGCTGGTTAGTTGAAGTTTTTTTTTTGTTTGTTTGTTTGTTTTGGATTTTGAGACTATGTAGCATTAGCTGGCCTGGAACTCACTATGTAGACTAGGCCTCAGTTCATATTCATTGCTCTGCCTCCTGAATGCTGGGATTTAAAGGCCTAACCCCCATACAAGTATTCACTTTTATATCCAACTTTAAATTTTCTTAAAGATGTTTCCAGAATTGTATAAGCTCACAGATTCTCAAAACCCACACTCACACCGTTGATTGACATTGATCACATATGAATAGTTAGGAAAATATCCAACTAAACAACTGACTAATTCTGTGTACAAATATGGTACCAAGCCTTACAGAGATGTGAGAAGACAAGGGATAGCTTCTGAGGATTCATGGGTGTTCTGGTTAGTTTTATGTCAATTTAACACAAGCTAGAGTTATCTGAAAGGAAGGAGCTTCAACTGAGAACAGTGCCTGTAAGGCACTTTCTTGAACAGTGATTGATAGGGGAAGGCCCAGTCCATTGTGGGTGGTGCCCTGGGCTGCGGGTCCTGGGTTCTATGAGAAAGCAGACTGAGCAAGCCAGGGGAAGCAGGCCAGCAAGCAGCACCACGCCAAGGTCTCTGTGTCAGCTTCTGCCACCAAGTCCTTGCCTTGAGTTCCTGTGTGAATTCAGTGATGGACTATGATGTGGAAATGCAAACCGTAGAAACCCTTCCCTTCCTAACTTACTTTGGGTCATAGTGTTTTGCAGTAATAGCAACCCTGACTAAGACAATGGGACGTGGTGTCTATTCTCCATGTATTTGTAGTTTTATGAGGGTTGGGGAGATGCTCCTAACATAGATGTGGCCTCAAAAGTGATTAGGCTTGCTGGGCATGGTGGTGCACACCTTCAATCCCAGCACTCAGGGGTGCAGAGGCAGGGAGATCTCTGTGAGTTTGAGACCAGCCTGACCTCTTGAAGAAGCTACTTACATCTCCAGCATCATGTCTGCCTGCATGCTGCCGTGCTGCCTGCCATGATGACAATGAACTAAATCTCTGCATCTGTAAGCCAACCCCAACTAAATGCTTTCCTTTATAAGAGTTGCTGTCTCTTCACAAGAACAGAGCACTGACTAAGACACAGGGCTTGAACACAAAATGAGATACACTGTCTGGGGAAGAATGTCTCACTGTCAGAAGAGATGAGGCAAGACAACCATTGCCAACTGTCAACATGTAATCACACATGCCTCCTTCATATGTTGGAGAATCTCAGAATGTGACTTTATTTTTAAAATGGCATCTTCATGGAGGGGGAGGTTTAGCTCACACACTACAAAGGAGGATTGGGTGAAGACACTAGGAGGATGGCATTAAAAGGCACAAGACAGATGTTTCCAAGCCAACGGATCTGGCTGACACCTTAATTTTGTGTATCTAGTCACCACAACTGTGGGAGCTCCATTTCTGTTGTTGAAATCACCTAGTTCCGTTTCTAGTTTTGATTGCACAGCCCTGGAAAAGGACTCTACTATAGGACCTAGAAAATACCCGAAGCAGCCTTGGGCTGAAAATCAGTTAAAGAATGAGGAAAGAAAAGAAGATAGGTAAAATGATGGGTGGAGAAAGACTCAAACAAAGTGAAAACCAAAAGTGAACATGGAGTCCTTTCCCCCTTATCAACAGGAGAGTGTAGACCCAGAGGCCCAGTTGCTATAGAGGGATGTTGGTGTGAGGATTGCCTCTCACCAGCATTGTACATGAAGGTCAGACACACCCAGGAAAAGTACTCTGGGTCAACCTGAGAACACCTGTGACTGACTGTAGGGCACAAATGTCATCTTCTAAGAGTACAGGCCTCTGTACTTATGAAGCCCATGTTCTAGAAGCAGACCATCCTGAATTTCAAGAACACTCTTGCCCTTACTGTCACCTGACTCAGTTTTCTCTTCTACAAAGGGGGGACAGTGGTAGCACCACCTCATGAGGATATGATGGGTATTATTGAGCATTACATAGAGCTCATTAGCAGTGTCACCATATCTGTTGTTAAAGGTGTTTATTCTGGCAATAATTTGAGACAGGGTTTCTCTGTGTAACAGTTCTGGCTGTTCTGGTACTCAATTTGTAGACCAGGCTGGTCTCGAACTCACGGAGATCTGCCTGCCTCTGCCTCCCGAGTACTAGAATTAAAGGCGTGTGCCACCACTTCCTCACTGTGACAATTTTTTCCCCACAAATTTAAAGCGATACTAGCAAACCTTCCACCGAATGCTGTAAGCAAACACTATTGTATGAAGACAAACACTTTTGAACAACTGGTCTCAGGCAATAGGGAAAGTAGCTCTTAGCAGGTGAGACAGTAAATAACTGCTGACTTTTTTCTTCAAAATGTTAGCATGATCTATGTCTCAGTTCTCAGTTTAGCCACACTGACCAATTCTGGACACTGACCAACATTCTAGTATTTGACCTTGTTAAAGATTATCTTAAAGCTTTGAAGAGTATTTAAATTTTTATTACAATATTTGGGGAAGGGCACATGTGCGTCCTGAGGACTGCACTCAGATCATCTGGCTTTGACATGCCTGCACCTTTTACCCAATGAGCCATCTTGCTGGCTTTGCATTGGCTTTTGGAAGTCAGCAAAAGGTCATTTCAAGGGATCTGTGAAGTCCACAGAACCACGGCTGAGCAGGGCAGACTAGCCTTTAGAACTTGGCAGGTGGACATCACACTTAAGCAATGTCTAGTCTGCTTTCCACTCTAACCACCCCGAAGCCCGGGTTGCCCAGAGATGTCTTATAGCCAGGACATTGCAGAAGTCCAGTCTTCCTAGCCAAGGACTGTGGCGAAACGTGGTGTGTGAACTGTGGTGAAATTGGATTAAAGGGGGTCGTGTATATCAGTACTAAAAAACAAAACAAAAAAAAATGGGGAGTCTTTGGCCACCATGGTCCTTTGAAGCAGAGATGCTAGCAGAGAATCCATGCCAAGAAGTCAGCTGGGCAGAATGTTAAGGATGGAAAAGCTAAAAGGCACCTACAACATTCCAAAGCATCACGTTATCAGGGTTCAGGAAACTCTGGAGTTGAGACACAGATTTACCCTTTGCCCTCGCTCAGATTCGTTGTGAAACGAGAGGACAGTTTGGGTGACTGTAGAGGCTTTTGCTTGCTAACTGCCAAGCGCGCTCTGGGACCTGAGGGAGGCCACGCCTACCGCCTTAGAGCGAGAGGCGGGGTCGGCGGGACTGGGCGGGGCCTGAAGGGGAAGGATTGGAGTTGATGGACGGGGCCGGAGGGGAGCGGCGGGCCTGAGGTGGAGCAGGACAGGCAGGGCGGGGCTTAAGGGGCGGGAATGACGCTGATGGGGAGGGGCCTGAGAGGAGCGGCGGTTCTGAGGGGGCCGGACAGGCTGGACCTGTGCGACAAGAGGGGCGGAGCTGGCGAGGGGGGAGCGGGCGCGCTCGGAGATGGGGTGGGGAGGGGCCTGAGGACGGGGCGGGGTGGGGTGGCGCGGCGCGGCACGCGCACTACCAGCAGCCCGGCCCTGCTGCTGCAACGCCGGTGGCGCAGCCTAGGGAACAGCTGCAGCCACGACTCCTTAAATAGCATCGCGACCCGGCGCTGGGCAGTTCGTGGACTGCAGTGACAGCCGCCTGCAGAGCTGCCGGGGCAGCGGAGGAGGTGAGTGCGCCAGCCACGAGGGGCCGCGTGTCGGCCAAAGCGACACTAGCGGGGCCGAGACTCGAGAGCCGCCCCGCGGCTCTGCGGGACGTTCCGCTTTTCCGGCCTGGGCTCGGCGGCCTCATTTTCCTCGGCATCTGGAGGCTCCGGGACCGCCCGGGCGGCCGTCGCTTCCGGTGCTGGAGCTGGGTTCCCCGCGGGTCGTGCGCGCGCGGGGCTGGTGCACCGCAGAGTCGGGGCGCGCCTCGCAGCACCTGTCCCTGGGCTGGGGTGGCGGTAGGGACCAGAACCCTGCCCGGCGCAGGTGCCAAGAAGTGGTCCTGCCGGCTGGGGACCTCATCTCATGCACCTCATCCCTCGTGCCTCAGAGGCAGGACTGTGAGGTGCGCTCGCACCGCGTCTGGAGACCGACTGTCCCGGTGCAGCACTGTGACGTGCCCTGCGCTTAGCGTTCGAGGAGGGTCAGAGGCAGCGCCGGGAGCCCGATGTCATAAGTAGAAATTCTCGCGGTGTCTCCAAGAGGAGCGCCCACAGCCACTGCACACAGCAGTGATGGAGTCATTGATTTTAGGCAATCTGGCTTTGAAAATTTTTTAAATTAGGGAGCAAAAATGGGATTTATCACCTTGAAACGTAGAGCGAGTGCTGACTTGAAAGAACACGTGGATTAGATTCTAGACACAGACGCTCCATCTAATCAGTGCGTTATGCCAGGGCTTGCAGACCATCTTTCCACTGCACCCAAGCTCATGGTTATGGAGCCTAGTTAAGAATGGCCATTATGAAAATGCTCTGCCTAGACATTCAAGCTTCTTGAGACGTGAGTATTCCCTCCCTATAGGACTTGACATTTGGCTGTTTCTGGTACACGTTTCAACATGTAATCTATAGTCATCCCTATGAAAATTATTAGCACAACTCAAACAATAATCAGCAAAACCCCTCTAGCTGATCTGGTTCTCTTCATGCATCTTTGACTGTCAACTCCACCTGAACTTAAGTTTGAACTGGTCGTCTGCAACAGGCAGGGTCCAGAACGTAGAGCCAAAAGGAACCATCAGCTTGGAGCAACATGGAGAGGTGCAATGAGGGCAGAAAACACATAGGGCCAGATCTTAGGAGATGTTCTTTCTTGTAGTTCAATTGAGAAATTCCTTTCTGGTGCAAGTCTGGTTCTTTTGTGAAAGGTCTGCTTGGAGATGAAAATATGTCTTGAGGTAAAATTATGTGACTAGTGAAGGAAAACTCAAAGCGATGCACCTTATTACCTCACCTCTTCTGGATTTACTGTAAACAGATGGGATTTAAACATTCAAACAAAACTAAATCCCTCCTGCCTCCCCCCTCCCAATTATAAGTATTTTGACACATTTCCTTCCTGTGTGTGTTATTTGTATTTTGTCAATGTTGTGTTATCATGACAGCCCTTACTGAAATCTCTGGGCCTTAACACATTTTGGCATTTAACACATGGCATGTGACAAATGTGGGCAGGGACGGACGGACTATCATTTATACCATACAGGTATTTTTTAGCTACCTCTGGGTTTCTGAGCTAAGGGTGGAAGTGTGAACCAGCCACAGTATTGTTGAGTTAATGTCTTTAGCACAGCTTTAGTTTTGATGAAGCTATCAAGTGCACTGTGGTTCTGTGTTTAGAGAAGGAGCCTGGGGAAAGATCAGGTGGTTTTGTCATTTACATGTAGAGATTTTTGTCTTTGTCCCTGTGCGCCCCCCCTCCCATTGGGCGGGGATAAGCCTGTGGGATGACTACATCTAGACATTTATTTATACTGTCATTTCAGAGGGTCATTTAGTTTGTGAGGTCAGTTTCACTTACTTGTTGGGTAAGCTTACCATTGTTCCTTTGCATGAACAGTCTCTTAGGCTGAAATTCTGTGTGAGTTACACCATTAAGAATGTTTTATGGGCAGTATCATTTATATGATGCAGTGTATATGGCTGTCATGTTGCCAAGTGGAAATGCACTTGAAGGCAGCCCGCAAGTGGGAGTTTCCTAAAGCCCCTTTAAGCCTGGTTGCTCGGCCCAGCTAGATTAAGGTGCCTGAGTTTGTAGTGAAGGTCTTCCGTCCAAACTGGACAAGCACTTTAAGGTCATGATGTACCTTTGGCAATATCTCCTGGAAGGTGGTTCTCAGTCTGCAGAGCTAACCTGAAGATTCTGTACTTGAGTTTAGGTTTCAACATTTTAGTACTTTGAGGGGCAAAGTTAAAGAGATGCAAGCCTTGAAAAGTAGTAGCTGAACTTGATGAACTACACAGGAGGGGCAGGCTTATCAGTGTTTGTTACAGTACTCTGAGATTCTCATTTTCGTGTAATGCTCCATGGCAATGCCTAAGAGATTTTAGTTGTGTAATCCTGGGGTAATGTGGACAAGGGAAAGAAAACCATCAGATAAATGAGTTATGCTAATATTTCTACTTTCTCCATCCTGAGGCTTGTAATTTCTTAACTGTGGGGGCCAGTAGTGTTCAGTTGTAATCTTTGAGGAATCAAAGTGAGGAGGACTAGGGGTTGCAATCGAGTGAGTGGTCCTTTTCTTGTTTCTGACTGTCTAGGAGGGATGTCACTTTAACCTGAGGTCTGTGTGAGGGCTGTATTCCCTTAGGATAGGAGGGGCTGCTGGAAAACAGTATATGCCCTATGTCTTAAGTCTGAGATTTCAAAAACCAGTGGCTGAATTCACATAGGAGCCTGGGTTGGTTCTCTTTATGGATTATTTGGTAGTCTTCAAGCTTTAAGCAAAAATGTGAAAGCTGTCTAAACATCTAAATCAAAGTATAGTTTTATGAAAGTAATATATACTTTTTATTAAACACCTGAACATATAAAAACTAAAAGTCTTGAAGAAATTACACCTGGGTTCATTTTCTTCCAGTTTTATAAGCAATTGAAAAATAATTTTAAGGCATATATTGTCATTTGCAGTTGAGAATTTTTGGCAGTTCAGATTTTTTTAACTTAACCTTTATTTTTATTTCATGTGTCTGGATAATCAGCCTGCATGCATGTCTGTGGACCACATTCATGCGGTCCCTGCAGAGTCTAGAAGAAGACTTTGGATCCCTGGGGGCTAGAATTATAGATGGTTGGGGACCACTGTGTGGATCCTGGGAATCAAACACAAGTCTACTGAAAGATCAACCAATTCTGTTAACTGCGGAGCCATCTTTTCAGATTGACAAGTTATTTTTAACCATCTCAGTTACATGGTGACCTTTCCCCTGGATTTGTTTTAAGTGAGTTTTGAATATGACTACTTTTTGATTTATTCACTACTCTTTTTTTTTTTTTTTTTTAATTTCAGAACAATTTACCAAGCTCTTTTCTCTGGTTAAACATACACATGTTTAAAATAAAACATGTTCTTAAAACAAAACAAAACAAAAACTCATGGTTTTGTAACTGATTAGAAAATTATAGATAAAGAGTTTTAATGGACTTTTGGGTCCATGTATTTTGGTGGAAAGCTGTTGAAATAAGGATTTCATGGTTTGGAGAGATAAATGAAAAAAAAGTTAGGGCATCAGAAAAGTGTGGTTTGCCTACTAGAATGTTTCCCCATTTTGGGTGCTACTTCTGATAAATGTATTATCTACCCATTTGCAGAGTTTTGGCTGCTGTAGAAATTGGCATTTCCCACTCAGGCTTGTTGTAGAAGGCATGTCTGGAGCCATGGGGTCAGAATACCATTGTAAGAAGAATTAAGAGAAAGCTGTAACAGGACTGGATTTTTAAGCTCAGCAGTCAGTAAGCTGAACAGGACCAGTTAAGGGGCAGGAGTGGTGACAAAAATAGCCAGTAGGTTCTGTTCTTGGTGCTTCCTGTATGTTAATTCATTAGTCCCCCAGCAGGTCCTACTCTTAGACTGTGGCAGTGGTTCTCAACCTTCCTAATGCTGTGACCCTTTAATACATTTCCTCATGTGGTAGTGACCCTCAACCATAAATTTATATTCATTGCTACTTCACAACTCTAATTTTGCTACTGTTGTGAATTGTAATGTAAATATCTGACATGCGACCCCTGTGAAATGGTTGTTCTACTTCCCTTGCAAAGGTTGAGAACTACAGCTCTATGATATTTAGAGATTGCATTGCCCAAGGCAGGATTTGAGCCTAGGCTGCTGACTGGCTTTGGGGCCTGTGCTCTCAAATGCTTGCCTCTGGAGCTAGGTTTCGGAGGCTTGGGAAGTTCTACTCTACTCATCTAGTAACAAGGCAAGTCAGTTCCTTGATTTCTTTCTCTGTCCCATTTACACTCAGCTGTGAATGTTCTCTTTTTCATATTGCAGTTCCAAGAGGTAACAGCTTGATTCAGCATAGCACAGAGTGTGATTGAGACCATTTATTGCGTAGCTGTGACTTTCTGGAGAATTAAAAAGTAACTAAAGATTAGAAATCATCTGCCTCCTGGAAGCCTGGAGGACAGTTGTGGTGCATGGGAACCACAGGTGCTTAGCACAGATTGTGTGGAGCCAAGCACTTTGAGATTCACCTCACTGTGACACATGGGTTTGCTCTCTGCTGTGTATTTGGGTGTAGGGGTGGGATCACCTTTACCCCCATCTTGGTACTGTCTAGTGATAATGTTGAAAATGTAATAGACGAGAATGAAATCCTCCGTATTTGGAGCTTGCAGGCACTGTGGTACGGTCTGGCGATTCTGCATCTTTCCTGGTGAAAGTCCCAAGCTAGAAGCTGGGCTGCTGTGGGTGAAGTCAGGTGTGATGAGCATGGGTGGAATCCACAGACAGTCGTTTCTATCTCCTGGCACCTCAGTGTCTCTTCAGACAGTCCCTGGCCTCTGAAATAGCCAGGCTTCCTCATGTCACTGATGTGGTACAGGCAGGCTGTGACTCAGTCAAGGTTACACAACTTGCCTTCGCCTCTGGCCATCTCATACACATATATGGAGCTTGTTCCTGGGCCCCGTGCCTGTTCGAGGAATGGCTAGCCCCTAGAGTTGTCCTTGACTTAATGTCCTGAGACTCAGGCAGTCAGCAGGCTTCTGCTTATTGTAATCTACGCTGTGTCCAACACTTCCCAGCATACACCTGTTTCTTCCTTGCATTCTCAGTAAGTTCACAGTCTTCTCTCCTGTGTAGCCAGCACATGCACTTGTTAAAAAGAAACAAAGCTGGACACAATAGCACCTGTAATCCCAGCACTTGGGAGGCTGAGGCAGGAGAGCCACTATGAGTTGGAGGTCAGGCTGGGCTACCAAGTGAGTTTTGGCTAGCCTGGACTAGAGAATAAGACCCCCCCCCATCTCAAAAATGAAGGAAAAAAGGAGGTGATGTTGGTTGAGAAAGAAAGTTTTTCTGAAGCAGAGCTCCAGGACAAAACCCATCAGAGTCCCAAGCCTTTATTTAGTTAGTCTTTCAAGGACTTCTGCAGCCTGGCTCCTGTGTGCTATTTTCTCTGCCTGTCTCAGAGCCCCATGCGCTGGGACACTGGGACAAGACTGGTGGGGCTGAAGAAGCTGTGTTCCCAAAGACCCTTTGAGCTGTGCAGATCTCTGAGTTGCTAGCCTGTTTATCCTGGAAGGAGGCACAGGCCTAGAAAATGCTGTGTGTCTATGTCTGCATGGACCTTTCAATGATGTTGATCATTTTCTCAACCTTTTCCCTCTGAGAGCTGTTGCTCAGAGGTATGTAACATGACTCCCCTTTCAGACCCTCTAGTACACTGACACTCAGCGGGCATGCAACACAGACCAAGCTGGGGACTAAAATGGTGAAGTACGCTATGCCAGTTAAAGAAAAAATGGCTGTGGTCCCAAGTGTCCCAACCCCT